TAGAACTTGCGACGGATCTATCAACTCCTCCTTCATTTATTGCCACATAAGATAAATTTATTGCCAGACGTGGTTTGCCTTCGCATATTTATAGTGAATGCGTTGGAGCATCCAAGAAGTTGAAGGAGCTTTATCGATTTGTTAAGGGTCAGAGCGAACCCATTTCTGAACATTTGGGTCGGATGGGTATATAGTGGACCTTTATTCCTTCAGCATCTCCTCATTTCAGTGGTATTTGGAAGGCAGCTATTAAATCCTCTAAGAAATACTTCTTGCTGTTCTCCAGGATCATGCGTTGACATATGAGGAATTTTATACTCTTCCGGTACGAGTTAAAGCTGTTCTAAATTTCCATCCTATCTGTAATAATAGAAGTCAGCCTTCGGATAACCTGGATTACTTCACCCCAGGACACTTTCTTATAGGTCAACCCCTCCTAGCCAGACCAGAACAAGAAGACGCATCTGTGTTTCCTTTGACAAGCCGTTGGGAGATGATTTCCAAGACTCTTCGTAATTTTTGGAAGAGATGGTACAATGAATACCTCCATAATCTGGTGCCTCACAACATGTGGTGTACTGACAGGGAAAATTTAAAGGAGGGAACCCTAGTAATTCTACATGAAAAAGATGTTCGACTCAAGAATGGCGGCTTGCCAGGATAATAGACACTTCCAGGGCCTGACAGTGCAGTTAGGGTGGTAAAATTGAGGACTGCTACAGCCACTGTGGTGCAACCAGTGCACAAGTTAGTGCCTCTCCCTTCTGGAGATACCTTTTATTGATATGAATATTTTTTTTGCTTAAATTTAATAAGGAGTTATTTTATTTTAAATTAATAGTAATTTATTAGCCTACCTTTGGATCTGCCTCAATTTATTTATAATTTTCCAAAAATTTATTTTGAATAATTTCTCTCTTTCTTTATCGTAAACCAAGCAATTTTCCTCTCGTTTGTGCCTTGCCTAGTCTGAAATATCTGAGATTTTTTTTTTTTTTGTTTTTTTTTTTGTTTGTGAAATGAGATATTTCACAGTGGAGGATATGTTTGTGCGAAGATAGTTCCAAATTTCCTCATTACGGCGAATGGTGGGAGCAGATCAGAAGATCTAAAAGATAATATCCGAACAAGTGCTGATTCACTCAGTGCATTCCAGCACAAGTATCCACGGAGACAACACCTGCACTTCAGAGCCCTCAGTTAACAAATGTCTTAAGCTGTAATAAAAATTGTAAGCTGTTTTTGCACAATTCGTATAACCTACCAATCCATTTTAAATATAGTTCACTACATAAATAAGTAGAATGTTGCCGGTAATTTGAATGTTACCTATTAAGAACTCATGAGAGTTATTTGCCTTGCCATAATTTAAAATTTGGAAAGTTGCCTTAACAACTTTTTTTTATTGAGATTGGAAGAGTTTTACAATTTTTTTTTATTATTATTTTATTTTGACCAACCACTCCTCTCATTTGAGCAGATAGCGATATTGCAAATACCGATATATCAGCCTTACAGCCATATTTTTTCAAGATTCAAACTTCCAACATTAGTTTTATAGCTAATAAATGTGTCAATCAATCGTCAAAGGATTGAAATAAACATATATTTGAAAAAGACTGATATGTCGGCCTTAAGAACTACAAAAATGTCTGACAAAAATTTTAAAATTAATTTATTATTGTTTTGGCCCTCTGATTTCTTTAACTTGAGCAGATACCGATATATCGGCCACACATTCTTATTTTATCAAGATTGGTAGAGATTGACTTTTTTTTTGTCCTCCCCTTTAACCGATATATCGGTCTTACTCCTTTATTTTTTTGAGATTCATAAAGTTTAACTTGGAATATTATTTTTAGAGCTAATAAGTGTGTCAATCAATCACCAAGAGATGGACATAGAAATAAAATTGAGCAAATACCTATATATCAGCCTTATTTTATCGAGGTTGGTACAGTTAGACCATTTTTTTATTTATTTATGATTAATATATTTTTTATTTTTTTTTTTTGGTACTCTGCTTTTCCTTATTTTATCACATACTAATATTCTGGCTCTATGACCTTAATCTATACAACGGCCTTTTTAAAATTCTTTGAATCTCGATAAAATAAGGTCATAAGCCAATATTGGTGTTTTATTTATACTAGTAGGCCGGCCTGTGCGAAAAATTCGCACAGCATATTGTTATCAAATGCCAAATTACTAAGAAAATAAAATAATGAAATGTATCAAAAGATAAAGAATATCAATTGTTACTTTATCGTTAAATATAATCGACAAAGGAAACAAAAATTAATTTAAATCTTCATTTTGTTTGGAACCAACATGTTTACATTTTTACATGTTTATATTTTGCCCGCCTGAAGGAAAAGGAAGCCTTCGAAATTAGAGGCTCAATCTTGAGATTTGGTGAAGAATTAAGAATGATATGGCTTGCCGATGAAAAACACCATAGATAAATAATATAAACTCCTCCTCTCTCGATCATAGAGACCTCAAAGTCAAAGAAATGAGACATGTATTCAATGGCAGTACTACAATTAACGTAACGTTGTATGAATGCGAACCCTATGCCTTGTGTTATCTCGAAAATAGTACATTTTTGGGCTTAAAAACGCAGGATCCGATACTTCAGGTCTTGCTGTACGCATAAAAATCTTCAAGGTCCAATTTATCCTGTATCAATCTACAGACCTACCACCGTTCCAGTATTGAAGCCTAGCAAAATATTTGTATCGACTTTATTTATTTAAGAAAGAAAAACAAAAGTGGAGAATACGATTCGCTAACGTATTTGAGCATGACAGGAACTTATATTTGTTACAAAACCGGTTTTGAGCCTTACTGTAATAATAATATTATAATAATAATATGTGGAGATTGGTCTTTAGAATATCCGTATTTAGAGCATCTCCGAGGAGTGGAGAAGCAAGAAAAATAAAAACAATAAAAGATGGTTAAACTCTACCATTCTTGATAAAATAAGGTTGTAAGGCCGATAAGCAACCCTTACACGATCATTCGTGAATGAACGTCACAAGAGTGACAAAGAATGGTCGGCATCCCTTTGGTCATGAAGATCCCTACACGTTCAATCATTACTGATCATTGCTGATGCCATTTTATCTCAATTTTAAACAAAAAAACAGCATAGATAAGCTTATTTGGACATTGCCCTTTATATTATTGGATATCAAGAGAAAAATGGAAATATAATAATTACTTCCTAGTGCTTGAAAAACATTTAGACAAAAGTTAGAAAAATATAAGTCAACTACTTACAAAAATTAAGGAAAAGTATAGCGAAAATAATCAATTTGTTAAGAAAAATGGAAAAATTAATGACAAATAAACACAACAGCTAAAGATTGTTTTTCTATAAGTAAATTGTGAAGTTTCCACTTTTTTAAAAAAATGTATTGTACACTTGAATATTTAAAGAAAAAATAATTGAAAAGGGTTTTGTAAAAATATAAACTAGAGATATAAAAAACTATTTACTTTTATGTAATTATTTACTTAAAAATCAGTAATATACAATGGTTGTGAGGCCTAGGTAAACTAACCTATCTAGTAGAAAGGTTAGTCTTATAGAAAATCGGTTTGACAAAAGTTGGTAAAATATATGTCTATTACTTACAAAAATGGAGTGCAATTCCGAATTATCGTGTAAGGGTCTCCTTTATATCGGTTCAAGCAGAGGATGAAAAAAAATTGGAAGAGCACAAAAAAAAAAGTCAAACTCTACCAATCCTGATAAAATAAGATCGGGAGGGCGATATAAAGTTTATGCCACTTCCTTGACGATTGTGTGACACATTAATTAACAATATAAGTAATATTCCAAGTGAAAATTTATTAATAAAAGTAAAAAAAGATAATAAGGCCAATATAACGGTCCAATATGAGAACAAATAAATTTGTAAGGTGAGCAGCACAAAAAAATAAAATAAATAAATGGTCAAAGTCAACTGATCTCAATAAAATAAGTTGTAAAGCCAATATATCATTCTTTCCTCAAATTTATGTTTATATCGATCCCTTGATGTTAGATTAACAAATTTGCTAGCAATAAAAATAATATTCTAAATTTAAATCTCGATAAAAAATGGTCGTAAGGCCGACATCGGTATTTAAAGTATCATTACCTGCTCAAATGAGAAGAAGGGAAAGAACAAAAAAATAGTAAAACTCTAACTCTAATCTCAATAAAATTAAGCAATCAGGCCGATATATCGGGCTTTAGAATACATTTATCTGTCAATTCCTTAGCGACTAATTGACACGGTTAATAGCAATATAAATAATATTATAAGTGAAACTCTATGAATCAAAACAAAATAAGATCGTAAGGGCGATATATCGGTACAATGGGAGAACAAAAATTTATATATAGATCTAACCCTAGATAATAATTGTTTGATACTTTCATTCAGTAATTTTGAGAATTTTCTTTGCGACGTTGTACAAAACTAGACATATAGGAACATATGACCGATACGCTGAAATATAGGTTTATTGTTCTTTTATAGAGCAAATTTATGTATAGGATGATGCATAGATGGTCTATTTATGCTATTATATAGCAATAAGTTCCATACAAAACTGTACAAATCTTGACGGAATGGGAAAAAAAGACTGATATAATCGGCCTTTGAAATATCAGTTTTGGCCAAAATTTCTATATCAGTCGATCCCCAATGAAGTCCTAAGAAGATGCATAACATGGCTTTTAAAATTAAGAGCTGAAGGGCAAATACAGCCTGTAAGCACCATCGATCCAGTCGATGATATCCTTAATTTGTGGTAACATCGAAACAAACAAACAGTATCCTTAATTTAACATAAGAGGTTTGAATACTTCTGACAAATAAAATATATATTCAATACACAGTCATCATACAGGGTTAATGTATGAGAGAAAGATTAAAAAAAAAAAAAAAAAATTATGACAAAATAAATGACAAATAATAAATAATGAAATAAAAACTAACCTCAAAAACAGTATCTCCAGTAAGACGGGAAAGGGCTGCCATTTCAAGAAGCATTGTCCCAGCACATGCAGTGCATGTTTCTCTTGAGTTCCACAGCTTTGCAGTTTTGATTCCATGCCTTAAATTAACCTAAAGTAATTCAACAGTAAACACAACAGTTTTAATAATATCATTTTTTTAAATATAAATAAAATTCACAGTACAAATATAGTGAATCTTTTGTAAAACATGAAATTAATGACTCAATAAAAACAATTAATAATTCAGTAAATTATTTATTGCTAATCAAAATATCTATTTAAGAAATATTATCTGTAATTCAATAAAACTAATCAATAACTTTTAACAGATTCCACAGGAAATATTTATTCTGATTATGCCTTAAAAATTGTGTGCCAACTGTTCTTAACATATAACTATTTTAAAAAATAGTACCATTGTTGAGGGTCAAGAATGCTGTTATATTTATCCCAATTTATAGATATAATAAAGCTAGTAATTAGATTTTTACATATCATAGTAAATCATAGTTAAACTAATGATCAATTTAGTTAGTATTAAATTTAGTGTCAAACTCAAAGTCAATTTAGTGTTAAACTAATGATCAATTTAACATATAACTATTTTAAAAAATAGTACCATTGTTGAGGGTCAAGAATGCTGTTATATTTATCCCAATTTATAGATATAATAAAGCTAGTAATTAGATTTTTACATATCATAGTAAATCATAGTTAAACTAATGATCAATTTAAAGTAATTTATGGAAGAAAACATAAGAAACTATAACTACTAAAGAGTAAATACATACATAAATAGGAAGTTATCAGTTTCATCTATAATTTTCCCATAAAGGAAATCATGGTTGGATGATTTAATTATCTGTGAAGATTAAGTTATCAGCACATGAATGGTCTCAACAATAACAAATTCATAGATATAATTTAATAACTCCTTTGACTGTACCAGCTACCAAAAACTTTGTATAAATCACAAAATTATGAGTATAGAAATCTTGTAACCTTATCTAATAGTCAATAATAATGACAGAATGTGTTAGTAGCTTACTGTGATGTTATCGTCTTCTGTCCATAGTTAAAATGAGAAATATGAGCATCCACAAGTTTGTTTTACTTGTTCAAAACACGTTGAAAAACCAAACATACTGGATGTAAAAATATGCACATTAAGTAGATCTGCACTGTCTTTATTGATTTTAAGCAGAAGTATGAATCCATAGACAGAGAGTAAGAAAGGAATTGAAGCAAGCAATCAGAATACTAGAAATTCACAAAAATTGATTGTCTTGACAGAGATGACTCAAAGAGCTTCGAAATGCTAAGTCAAAATTCATAACTTCCTCTCAAACAACTGAGATAAAAGATGGCTTAAAACAGGGATATTGCCAGTTCTTTTCAACCTAGCGCTAGTGCGGGCTATTAGAACAATCCCGAAGGATGATATACAATCGACTGACAAATGTCTTGCATATGTGGACAATATTCTAATAGGCGCTTGCACATTGTTAGCCCTGGCGGGATCAATTAAGGAATTTAAAAGAACAGCCAACAAATAACTTGGCCTAAGGATAAATGAAGGAAAAAGCCTTCACATGAAGTCCTCAAGGAATATAATATGAATATATATATATATATATATATATATATATATATACATATATAGCTCTCCAGTTTCTAACGCCAAGGAGATTGTGTGCGTCCAATGTGACGGAGTCAGCCAACCTCACATTTGGCATACCCACTCTTCGCTTGCCATGAAGCTCTTCAGCTAATGTCCTCTTAGGGATCTCGTACTCCTTCATCCTTGCCATGTGACTCACCCTTCGGAATCTCCCATCCTTGATCCACTTGGTGATATCACGATCTCTGTACAGTCTTGAGAATTCCTGGTTCTTCCTCCTTATCCAGGTGTCTCCTTCTCGAACCAGACAAAAAATTCTTCTCAATATCTTCTGTTCAAACACCATAAGGAGGTTCTCACTGGCTCTAGTAAAGGCCCAGGTCTCTGACTCATACGTAAGAACCGGACGAATCAGGGTTTTATATAGGCCGATCTTGATCTTGTTGGAGAGGTGTCTGCTTTTAAAGTATTTTGCTAGCCCAAAATAGCTTCGAATGGCTGTGGCAGTTCTCCAGTTGATCTCCTGGGATTTTGAGAGTTTATTTTTGAGTCCAGGTATACGAAACTTTCTCTCGGTGGAACCTGTCCACTAGGGAGCGCGTCCCCCGGGTGGCGGATAGGGGATCCCTCTTAGGAGGGGTGGTCTGAATATACTGAATAAAGACCCGTGGACCAACAGGTACCCAGTGCTGGGGGGTATAGCCCGGCCACCCTTCCTCCTGAGGGGATATAAATATTCAGGAGGCCAGTTGTCCCGAGGATACGGGACCTCCAGCACTGGGCTAATCACCCGTCTGGAGAATCAACGATTCAAAGCAATTCAACTAGCCTCGGATGTGGACTGTCTTCAAGGAAACGACCTGGCGCACTAAGGGATATACGAATTGGAACGTGGAACATAAAAACTTTAACTGGGAAGGAGGTCGAGCTGGTGGAGGAAATGAGGACCTACAAAGTAGAAATCCTCGGCATAAGTGAAGTGAAGAAAAAGGGCAGTGGAGAAATGAAATTGGCTAATAATTACTCCCTAATTTATGCTGGAGTACCTAGAGGGGTTTTCGCCAAAGAGGGAGTGGGTCTAGTAATGTCGCCTAATATGTATGATCATTTAGAGGACTGGGAGCCGATATCTCCAAGAATGATTGTAGCAGATTTTAAGATGACCATAGGTAAGATTTCCATAATCCAGGTGTATGCACCAACGGAAGATGCTAGTGTTGCAGACAAGGAGGCATTCTACTCGGATTTGCAAAAAATAGTAGATAAAGCTAAAGGAAAAGGAAGGTCAGTAATCCTGAGTGGGGACTTCAATGCCAGAACAGGAAATGATGAAAGATCTGGATATGGAGTTTTGGGGCTACATGGAGGTGAGAATGTGAGGAATACTAATGGACAACGGCTAATAGACTTTTGCGTGCATAATGACTTCCTCATAGGAAATTCCTTCTATCCACACAAGAGAATCCACAAAATCACTTTCTCATGCATGGAACGAAATAGTATAATTGACTATTTCATATATGATAGGAACATAAGGCAGTATTTCGCTGACATAAAAGTAGTAAGAGGAGCGGAGATAAGCAGCGACCACCTTTTACTTGTGGCTGATACAAAGATCATCCCGGAGTATAAAAGGAAAACAAAAGTATTTGAAACCCTCAACGTAAGAGCCTTGGATGACCCAGAGAAAAGGGCCCTCTTTACAGAAAGCCTGGAAAATAAATTAAGGGAAACGTCATTCGATGGAGATGTGGAAGAGATATGGAAGGCACTGAAAATATGTATTCTGGAAACAGCAAATACAGTTTGTGGGAAGAAGAGAGTGTCTGGCAAGGGAAAGCGGACAGACTGGTGGACCAATGATCTCCAACGACTGGTTTCTCAGAAGAAGCTTGCCTGGAAAGCATACCTTATGGATAGAACTGAAGGAAAGCTACACTTATATCGAATAGCCAGGAATGAATGTAAGGTAACCATACGCCAGGCGAAGAAGAAGTCGTGGGAGGAGTTTGGTAAAAGGCTGAGCGAGGATCACCGCGAATCTATAAGAACATTTTGGCGAAAAGTTAAGATGTTAAGAGGAAAACAATGCAAGCCTATTAGAAATGTAAAAGGTAGCGATGGAATCCTACTTACAGACAAGGAAAAGATCCTTGGCAGATGGAAGGAATATTTCCAGGAACAATTCTCCGAAAATCCAGAAAAAGACCATTATCAAGAACAAGAGCCCAATATTCAAGAAAGCCTGGAGGTTATAGAGGAAGAAGAAATAGAAAATGCAATCCATAAGCTAAAAAGAGGTAAGGCATCAGGAAGGGATGGAATCGCACCAGAATATTTAAAATTCGGTGGTCAAGAACTTCTTAAAGCACTACAATCGCTGTTCCAAGAAGTATATGACAGAAAGAAAATTCCCATGGACTGGGAATATTGTATAATCCTCCCGATTTATAAAAAAGGATGCACGACAGATTGCAAAAATTATAGACCCATTAGTCTGCTATCAGTGGTCTATAAACTTTATACTTCCATACTAGAAAGGAGACTCCGACGGATTGTGGAAGGGCAGTTAGAAGCGGAACAGGCTGGTTTTCGTCCAGGCCGACAGACGCAGGATCACATCTTTGTTCTCAGAAATATTGCTGAAAAAGCTTGGGACAGAGATAAAAATCTGTATCTTGCGTTCCTTGATCTGAAGTCAGCGTTTGATGTGGTTCCAAGAAAAGAAATTTGGAATGCCCTAATAGCCAAGGGTGTACCTGGAGACTTGCTGGCGGCCATACAGTCAGCCTATCAAGGAGCCATGGCAGTGGTAAGGATGAACGGTATGGAATCGGAACCTTTTCCAATTGCGAGAGGAGTTAGACAGGGAGATAGCTTAAGTCCCCTTCTATTTATAAATGTAATGGATGAAATCCACAAAATTTGTAAACGCCGAACTGCGTGGACAACAATTGGGAAGTGGAATCTGAGAACTGTCCTCATACAAAGCCTTCTATACGCGGATGACATAGTCCTAATAGCCGACACAAAGACCAAACTACAACAAGCTTTGGTAGAGTGGGAGGAAGAGTTGCTCAGGAAAGGGATGCAAATTAACACCTCCAAGAGTAAAGTGCTGGTTATGACGAGGGAAGAGCGAGAAGATGTTCAGCTGATCTGCAATGGCGAGACACTTGAGGTGGTGACTGAATATACCTACCTGGGGACCGTAATTAGTAGTTCTGGTAAGATAGACGCCGAAATATCAAGTAGAATATGTAAGGCGAATCAGGTATATTACCAGACTACTAATAGCATTATCGGCCATCGCGAAGTAGACAAGAAGACCAAAATGCACGTATATAAGTCTGTTTACCTACCTACACTCACCTACGGCGGAGAAAGCTGGACAATGCTAGACAGGCACTCTAGTCGCATAACGGCAGCAGAAATGAGGTTCCTTCGCAGATCTGTTGGCAGAACTAGAAGGGATCGCATTAGGAATGAAAGCATTAGAGAGCAGCTAGGAGTTGCCGAACTTAAAACTACTTTAGAAAGACGGCAACTCCAGTGGTTTGGACACGTCTGCCGCATGAATGAGAATTTGAATCCTATAAGGATATTAGAGGCTCGACCCACAGGAAGGAGACCACGCGGACGCCCCAGACTCACGTTCCAGGATTACATTCAAAGGATTGGATGTAAAAGAGGCAAAACCCTTAATGAGATGAAGCGACTAAGCAGGGACCGGGAAGAGTGGCTGCACTGGTTGAGGCTCCTCGACGCTAATTAATGGCATAAGAGGAAGACAAAGAAGAAGAAGAAGTATACGAAACTTTGCACCCTCTCAAATCTATGTGGTCCAACTTTGAAAAATCCTGTCCTTACCTCTGATGGTCCTATTCTTAAATAATTTGGCTTCGTTGACCAAGCCAAGAATTTTGGTTTCTTGTTCTAGAGCTAGGAATGCTTCTTTTAGGACACGCTCAGATCTGGTGGCTATGTTGAAGTCGTCTGTATATCCCAGTAACTGAACCGTACTGTTGAATAAGGTGATCCGTGTTTGAATCCTTGATCTCCGTACTTCTCACTCCCCCACCACATTAAAGAGAAAGCATGCAATGGAGTCTCCCTGTCTCACGCCGATGTTCATGGCAATAGGTCAGATCCGAAACGAACTACGTTGTTCCACTCCCAACATGGTCATTCTTACCAGACGAATCAGCTTCCTGGGTATGTCCATTTCTTCTAGCACCTGGTAGAGCACGGGTCGGGTAACACTATCGTACGCAGACTTGAAATCCAGAAAGAGGTGGTGCGAAACCATCCTGTATTCCTTGGCTTTTTCCAGAATCATTCTCCCGCTTACATTAAACTAGACCCAAGTTTAATATATATATATATATATATATATATATATATATATATATATATATATAGTTTTACCTTATATTTTATAATAATAGGTACATTAAAAACCACGCGTGTATTTAAATGCAACGTTAAGCCAAAATTTCAAGGCAATAGGTGAAGAACTTTCTGAGATTTAAGATTTTCAACAAACGAACATTTACATTTTAAATAATCAACAAAAAGTTGAACATTAAACAATACATTAAATATTAAAATAATTAATAATAAAATTTAACATGAAAATATATGAGTGGCTTCATATCCAAGACAGATATCTGTCATTTTCAGAAAGTAGAGAAAAAGTCAATTTTAGTTTTTAAGTTAAACTCAAACTGTTTTTGATGATTAAGAATGTTCAAGTTGAATCATGAAAAAAGTCATTAGAATTAGTTTAAATTGAAACTATGTTAAATTATTTTTTTCAACTTTTTGAAAATGACAGATGTCCTTTGATATTACTTATGTACTCCATGGCGCTAAATACAGCCTTACAAGACCCTGGGCCTCCTCTACAATCCTACTCCACTTTTCCCTACCCTGGGCGAGTCTCCCCCATCTTCCAATTCCCATCTCTCTCAATACTCTCTCTATACCATCTGACCATCTTATACGTGGACGTTTTATAACTCTTTCTCCTTCATTCTTATCATCCAGTAATTTTTTGGGTATCCCATTCGCCGGCATATGTTCTACATGAACTTAGCTCTAAGTTAGTCTAACTTTTTCGATACAGCTAAAGTGATCATTTTTTTTTTTTTTTTTTTTTATTGACGCTACATACCTTGAGAACATCTTTGACCGCGAGATGTGGTTTCCTAGACAACATCCCGATTCCCGATTTAAGTAATTCACGGGGTTAGGTCATCAGTCCTACACCAGGTCGGTGTGAGTTGCCTCCAGTAGCCTGATGGGCCTCAGATACCAGGGAGGGGGGGGGAGGAAATCTTGGGAAGCATGGCTTTCCCTGATGGACCATCACACAAATCGGATGGTCACCCATCCAAGTGCTAACCACACTCGGCGTTGCTTAACTTTGATTACCTCTTGCAAGCGTCTTAGCCTGTACGGCTTTCCCAGCCCCAAATGGTCATTACTTTCAATAATTCCCTTCTATTGACACTGTCGTAAGCCTGTTTAAAATCGATGAAAAGATGATGAAGATTCCAGCATCTGTTTTACTGAAAATATTAGGTCAATTGTAGATCTTTTTGGCCTGAAACCACATTGATACTCACCAAGAATACGTTCGGACCTTACTTTTAATTTTTTATTTAGGAGTGAGGAAAATTTCTTATATACTACCCACAGAAGAGATATACCTCTATAATTTGATATTAAGCCACTCATATGTGCTTTCTATTCCCTTTCTTTTCCATTTTGCTAGACTGAGCCACAGCAGTGCCTGGCCAGGTAAAGCTAGTCAAGTATATAAAATTAATAAAAGCTAGTTTTTAGATTGTTTTATTTTGTATTCTTTATATGTACATATGTTATATGTTTATTTTTTATTCTCTATATAGAGCTATGAGGTAGTGTCAAAACTTCCTCATCCTCCAAAGCATCCTTAAAATCCAATCTTTTTAGTCAAAAGAATTACAATAAATAGAGGACATAACATCTATCTGAAAAATGAATTTCTTCTAGTAAAGCACTTTGACATCCAAATGGTATTAAATATTACAACAGAATACTGTAAGAACTTTCAATAAGGACTGACATTCGACATGAACCCTTTGGCTCAAGCATTTAATTCAACCACAAATCCATAGATCCCACCACGATGACATTTGAGGTGGCACCCAAGAGACCTTATAACATTTTATATATTATCTCTATATATTTGAGTGATACATGTTCTTATTGGAAAAAATACTTTGAAGATGACAAATTTCAGACATTCCAAATAAGTATAAATAAATCATAAAATTGTGTATGAACAGCGACAGTTTAGAGTAATTATCTTGTGTGGACGAAACAGGAAATAAATGTTATAGAAAAGTTTTAATTTCTCAATTAAAAAAAAAAAAATTGATGACATTCCGGGACACTTTGATGTTGCAGGCTCTTTTAAGTTATGTATGAAGAAACCTTTTGTGTAGAAATTTGAAGCCTATCTTTTCTACTTTTGTCCTATTCGTACTGAACTAGTACTAGAGAAAGTCATTACTAGTTTAAAGTAGGCATATAGCCCTTCGATTCCCTGCAAAGTAATGCTTGACAGCAGTTCTATAGGATGGTAAAGAAGAATTGGGAGGTAGTTTTTTAGTGAGTAGGAATCTCACACTGTTGTGTGACTGTTTGTTGGTTGTACTTTGTTTTATGAAAGATTTTTCCCATATCCAGAAATAAAAAAAAAACAACACACACACACATAACTTATGAGTTATCAGTTTTTAAAATTATGTATATAAATACACACATTGCTTATAAATTTTCTATTTATTTAAATATATGTTAAGAGTTAAAATATCTATTTTAAATTAGTTTAAATTCCAAGATCAGTAAATCCAAAAATTGTCTATAAGAAGGGATGTCCATTGGAGGAGGCAGGTTTCACTGCACTAACATACTAAATTCTAAAAATATTAGGAATAATAAATTGCTTTCAAATGTTTTCATTCTTTCAAATTAATAAACTTCTTTTGATACATGCACGTATGTATTTAACTTTTATTAAGCAGTTGTATATATGCCTTCTCAAAGGACACGCCTCTACAATGGAAACATCCAACGAACCAGAAGCTCTCAGATATAAAGAGGTTTCACCTAATATACAAATATTTCAGATTGAGGTCATAAGTATTAAATAAAATAATAGATAGTCAAAAGTAATAGGGTTACTTTCATTGACTTGATGATAATATGAAAAATTAAAAGATAAAAACTCCAACAAGTTTTCTGATAATTGATAATCAATCATATTTTGTCTTGAAAATAATAAATCCTTAACTAATTATAAAGAACAATAACTGTTAAAATAAAATATATACCCGGGCTTGAGGTATTCCAGTGGAAGTATTAAATGCTGGTAAGAGCCTGTAACCAATATCTTTAGCCATTTCTAATAATTCTCCTCTATACCACTGCATAACACCGATTCTATCTTTCACATATTCAGATAATATATGTGCTGAGAGAAGACCCCTAGAAAAAACAAAAAATGTTCAATGTATTTTTTCATAATGAATGATTAAAAAAATCTTATAGTATAATACAACAGTTTTTTGCCATAACGATCCCTTTTCCGGCTCTCAGAAGCGGTGTATTTTGATGAATGAGGTATCAAACGAAAGGGTATTAAATGGAGCAGTGACAAATAATAGTAACATCCACCCGAAATTTCAGGGAAATAAGTTATGAATGAAAAGTAAAATTTATTTGTGAATTACTTAAAAATTTATAAAATTCCCTACAAAAAAAAAACAACAGAGAAATCGGACCATTATTTATAAAGATAAAGCCTATTGTAATTCATGTATTATTGCTTCTAATATTGTTGTCAAAGAAGTGTTATAAAATATTAATTATCATTTTGATACGTACCGTTTTCGAAAACTACTTTCATAATTTCTGATTTTTATGTATTAAGGATAACTCTGACAATTTTTAAAAGTAAGTAACTGCCTTTTAAAGCTCTAAAATGTACAGCTACTCAGTTTTCGTTTGAGCCCAACTTTATACCTGCGATAGGAAATCTTGATGTCACTGTTGTCCTGGATTCTGATTCTTATAAAAATTACAATTTCCAGCCCTCTATAGATACAAATCGAGTGCACCTGCAGTTGATTAGAATAAAAGAGATCAGCCAAGCAAAATTACGAATCGGATAATTAAGGCTAAAACATGAAAACCTATTGACAAAGGGGGCATGCATCCCTTGAGTTTCTTTCCTGTGTGAAAAATATCACGGTGATGCACATCTAGACTGAGTGTTGTGCCTATAAAGAACATTGGAGTGAAGTGGAGTTGGCAAATAATTTGCTGAAATTTTGAAAAACACCACAAAGATTTATTTCATGGGGGGTTAGCGAATCGTACTCTCTGATTATGTTTTTCTTTCTAAAATAAATAAAGTCAATATAAACATTTCTTTGATCAGGCTTCTATACAGGGACAGTTGTCAAATTGAGATCAGAAGATTTTGATGTGGATATAAAGGTATGGTTAGTTCCTTCGTGACTATCTGTCTCAGCATTTTAAAACTAAAAAATGTACCATTTTCAAGATACTACAAGGCAAAGGGATCGCAGCTACACAACCTCACGTTAATTGTAATGCTGCCGTAAGATTCATGTCTCATGTCATCGACTTAACATGAAAAAAGTTATAAATTAATTTTAATTTTCTTCAATTATAATTACTGAAAAAATAATAATTGATTTCTCCATCGAATGATAATGTAATCTAAGTTATATAGAGTACCTGCACACAGTGGATAAGGCAAGGGTTAAAAAAAACAAAACAACAATATCAGGAATAGAAAAAATGATCAACTAAAAAAAAATATATACATATATATATATATAGAGAGAGCTTGATGTCCTTGTGGCGGTACTGTTGGGTCTGTCAGCGTACTGCCGGGCTTGGAGTATCGATGTTCAATTAAAAAACTGAAGAGGATCCCATTATTTATGTTAAAAAACAAGGATCGAAACGTTTTTGAAAAAATGGAATAAACAGAAGTTGTTTTAAGTCATCTAAGTGTATTTCATGACCTATTATCCAATTATAATACATATCTTAAGTTTATATATATATATATATATATATATATATATATATATATATATATATATATATATATCTAATTGTTACTAATGATAATGGGCATCATGCTGATTTTAAGAAAAACAACAAAAACCTAAAATTAAAATAAAACAAAGAAAAAATGCAATGGACCTCTAGCAATACTCTTTACACTCAGTGATAAGGATAATCGAACCTCTATCTCCCTGTGGTGCTCCCTGGGTAATTCTAACAGAGACAATTTCGAGTTATGCAAGTTGGCAGCAGGGCATGCATCTAAGGAATGGTGGCGGTAGAACTCTATCGGAGTCAATGGCAGCTTCCTTAGACATAGTTAGCTTCTTTACTGCGAAAGGGTAAGGGAGAGCAGCTCTACAGCTGAAGTAAAGGCACCCCAAAATTAAAACCACTGGTCCTCCTGGTATGGGGGTTTAACATGGGGCCAATCCCCTCATCTAACAAGAAACTTCTAGTTACGAAACCTACAATCAAAGAAAAGCTGGACAGACATAATGGCAATGACCCTGGCGAGAAAAGGAAAACAAATGACAGGAAATGTTTGACATGGCTAAATGGAAGTTAAGAATCATGCTTCAGCCAGGAAAAATGAAAGAAATTGCTGATGAAGTAATGAAATTTAATATTGATGTAGTTGTGTTACAGAAAATAAGATGGAAGAGACAAGGACGTATAGACAAGAGGGACTACTCTCTCATTTATAGTGGATCAGAAGAAAGGAAAGGTAAGCTTGGAACAGGATTTATAAGAAGTAAGAAACTCAGAAGCTCCTTAATTGATTATGAAACTATCGACAATAGAATCTGCAAGGCAAGGCTCAAGGGAAAATTTAGAAATATAACTCTTATTTCCATTCACATGTCCACTGAAGATAAAAGCGAGGAAGAAAAAGATGAGTTTTATTATAAATTATCTAGGATCTTTGATTTAACACCAAGATATGATGCAGTGGTAATCCTAAAAGATTTGAACGCTCAGATTGGGAAAGAGGATTAAATCAAGGATGTGGCAGGAAAATTTACACTGTACGATATGACAAATGAAAATGGGCACCGCTTGGCTGAATTTGCGGCATCGAGAGACCTCAAAATTAAGAACACAAGTTTTCAGCACTGCCGAATACATCTTGGCATATGGAAAGCATCTGGCACATACTAATCTCTGCAAGACATGCATCCAGCATAATATATGTTGGAGCATGTAGAGGGCCAAACTGTGACAGTGATCACTTTCTAGTAAGAGCACTGTTTAGGCATAGGATTGCAAATGCTAAAAAAGGCTGCAGAGTAGAAAGGAAAAAATAAAATATGGAAAAACTCAGGTGTGATGAAGCAAGGAAGAGTTTTGAGAAAGAAATGACAGATAAACAGCAACAATGTGATGTAAAGGATAAGATTGAAAATGAGTGGTCTGCTGTAAGAGAATCTGTAATTTTTTTTATACAAAACATGAAGAACAACGGTTAATTAAATAATTCAACCCAATAATAAATAATCCTTTTTCCATAAATAAAAAGTAATCCTTCCTTTATTTAAATAATTTCTTTTTTTCATAATTTTTCTTTTATTCATAAATTTCATAAAACAATAAAAGGTAAACACTTTTTCTTCAAATCAGACATTGAAAGCCCAATAGAAACTTTGTAAGGATTAAGAATAGAAAATTATTCGCAAAAACAAAAAGTAGAGTCCACATAAGGACTATCAAGAGCTCAAGGTGGCACAAATCCTTTGATATTGGTCAGAATAACAACTCAGTCTGGAGTGTGTGTGTTGAAAGTGGCATGAATTCTTGCCGCCACTATCACATCTTCATTTGAAATACTTTCTGCTTATGTGCATAATTTCATGTTATGTCAACTCAAATTTCCATAGGTGTGAACCCAGGTTTAGGTATTTCAAAAGTAAAATTGATTTCTTTAGTTTAAAATATGTTTAGCAAAATAAGGAAACTGTCATATTAAAATCAATTTTTTACAAATACAAGTTCATAATAATAAGATAAAAGTAACTATTACTTACCCTAAAACTCGTATATTTGTTTCAAAAACAGATACTGTAACATCTGAATCAAACGTAACATCTTTTATCACAAGTTTCACAGCATGTTCAAACTCCGCTATATCACCAAGCACCACAAGAGTATCAAGTGTATCAATTAAACTCAATGAGAAACTGAAACAATATCACTTTTCTTACTTATTATGTAAAATAAAATTTTCATAATTATTTTGAGCTGTAACTCAATTTCATAAAACTTTGATAAACCGGGAAATAAATTAACTTTATTATTTTTTTTACTTAAAAGACAATTCATTATTGCGGCGATATGCATCAAATGAAGTTAATGATATTTACAGCTAACAAGCAGGAAGAAATACATTTTCACAAGTACTAAGAATAATGTGAGATGGAGAAGTATTAATTGCTAAATTTGATGTTTATTTAGTGTTAAACAAATAGTGTGTGGTGTAATTTTAAATATATTGATACCAAGGAGTAGGTACAGTACAAGTAACAAGGGGAGGTTATGGATGTGGTGTCACCTATTTCAATGAAATTTCTTGATGATACTAGGTCGAAAAATATTAGACTAATGTCCGAGATTTCTTGCCAATATACCGTTGGAACCAAGAAAAAAAAATGAATTTCGAACAAAATTTATGTTATTAATTTTTTGTCTTGGGTTTCCCTTGATTTTTAGGTTATTATAAACCAATCGATTATTTTTTTGAACAGAATAAGAAAAAAATATTGATTATGGTATTAAATGAGTTATTAAGTATCTTAAATAACAAACACTAAAAGAGAGTTCCAGTAAAGTAGGTCATGTAAATTTTTGCTACAAAAAAGAAAGTTACATTCGGTTTTAGTGTTCTTTAAAACTCATTAACATGAATTTTTGTAGATATCAACCGTCAGCTAAAGTATGTATAACTTCTCAAGATTTTATCCAAATGTTAGCACAATCGTTAGATAGCTGTATTTCCGCTCTTCAAAATCATATCAATAAATTTTGGAATTCGTTCCTTTTTAAACTAGAATTTTAGAAAAACTTCTACAGCATTTTATTTTAAATCTTTAGTTCTAATTTATTTATGGAAGTTGTGTTTATAACATTTGGCACACAGATATCTAAATCATAATTAATAACTTTTGTGTGATTCAGTGGGAGTCATTCTAAGTTATCCCAATTGCTTTGGTTGGAGACGAAATTTCGAAGGGTCCAGCCTAGGCAAGCCAAATTTCATGCAAAACATTTCAATGTTTTGATTGCTATGAAAATTTGTATTTTAGAGTTTTTCAGTGTGCAAATATGAATATCAACTTTGTTTCTCCCTAAACAATTCTTTTCTCTAGATACCCAGCTGGAAAAAATATTGTATTTGGCAGATAGTCATCATATGGAAATAAATTTGACCAACTGATGTGGTTATTTGGGAGAAAATATTTTATTTAAGAGAAAGTTGATATTCATTTTTTGCACCCCGAAAAAATACTCTCATGTCTAGTCCTGCTGGTTTGAATTTGCCTTGGGTGGTTTGTAATTTACTTTATGGCGAATCCACAGAATCGACCTTCCCACTCTAGTTTAAAAATGTTTGGTTGTGCCTCTAGTTTTTTGTGTTATAAGTTTTTGTATGTTATAAAAAATGTTATATTTGTTGTTTCTGAAATAACCAATTTAACTCTCCTTCTAAAAATGAACATAAATAACTAAAATTGGAATGAAAATGAATAGCCAAAATTAAATATCCTATAGTTTAAGAAAATTGAAGGAAGATATAATGATTAGAACTAATAACAACTCCATAAAATTAAACATGTTACCAAGCCAAAGGTTGGTTTTTTTTTTATACTGGTAGGCGTGTAGTAAATATAAAAAATCCACGTTTTCAACATTGAAAGCCTTGTGGTTTCGCCAAAGTCCTTGAAAAACAATTGAAAGTTTGAATACTTACACTATTATGTATTTTCTTGAATATTTTTTTAAAGTGATAAAGCCAAAAACTACTACATTCAATCTTAGCTTAATATTTCTTAAGAAAACATTTCAGTGATTAGACGGAAGATCAAACAAATTTTCGATGTCTAAGTGCAGCTGGTTGAGCCCTTTACTAATGAAGAAATATAAAATATCAGGAATTCTAGTAAGATCAGTGAGCTTGCTGAACATGTCATCATTAATATGTAATCATAATTTCCCTCAGTTGGTAAAAAAGAATAACCATCCATATTATGTACCCTTCATGTACGGGTGGAATGAATTCGGGAGGGTTGATCATTTCAATCTCCTCCAATAAATTAGAAGAGAGAAGAACTTGAGAAAAGTGGTAGAAGTAGCACGATACTACTATCGAAAAATCTTGGGCAAGGCAAGGGAGGATGATAGCGTTAAAAATTTTTGAGTGAGTGAAACATTGTCCGCTAATGGACCCCTCAATAAAGCCATTCCATTCTGAAAAAATCGCAGCTTTACCTATTAATTAAAATTACAGTCAAACAAGATTTGAAGCTGATGGTAATATTTTTTCAGTATACATTTCCAATCTTTATTAACAAAGCTAATTTAAAAATAGCAAGAAAAACAGTATTTGTTAATTAGTCATATTATTAAAATAACAATAAAACAACAACAAAAAATTATCTAAGGATTTTTGAAAACATCAATTTATTTTTAGTGATTTGTAGTTGAGTTGATAAGTTTAGAAAAATATGTTTCCTATAAAAGTTGTAGTAAATTTTATGTTCTTTATATTTAGTTTAAACATGTTTGAGCTACATCACATAAAAAAAAACAGGTAATTATTTTTTTAAAAATTATTTAAGAAAACATATTTTTTGTGAATTTTTAAAACTACCCATTTTGAAAGATCCATTTTTTTTACTACACTTCTTTGCCAAAACAAAAACGACCCTTATCTGTCCAGAATTGTTACTTTTGATGAAAAGTGGATACTTTACGATAACAGTAGATGTTCTGGATAGTGGCTCGACAAAGGAGAAGCAGCAGAACATTAAAAACTCAAACTCATTAAAAAAAGGTGATGGTTACGGTTTGGTGGGCGGGCTTCAATGTCGAATCGTATTATGACCAAATTAATGCAATGCATCAGAAATTGGCAATAATGAAGCCATCTTTGGTCAAGAAGGGGCTCATTTTGTTGGACAACTCCAAGCCACATGTCTCACATATGAAGTCACAAAAAATATTGGAGATTGGATATGAAACTCTTAATCACAGGACCTCTCACCAACAAATATAATTTTTTTAGACAACTGGACCACTACTTACATGAAAAAATTTAATGGACAAAGGGAATTAGAAAATGTGTTTTTGGAGTTTATCAATTCTAAAGATGAGAAATTCTATTCCGAGGGAATGGAAAAGTTGCCAACACATTGGCAGAAATGTATTGATAGTAGTGGAGACTATTTTGATTAAATAAAACAGTTGTAAATCTTTCTTTTTAAACCAAAATCCTGCATTATTTTCCGAACAACCCAATATTTTTTATTGTAACATAGAATGCCTTTTACTACACATTACGAATCCAGGGAAATAAATGTCTCATTTATTGGTGCACGTAAACATCTGAGCTAAGAATTTCATTCAAGGGTTTTTTTCGGCACCTGACTACTACAGCAAGTTTAAATATTCGTAGATGTGAATTACCCTATCAATATACTAAGATGTTTAGTAAGATATTGAAGTACATTCTCTTAGCTTACATTCATCCGCTCAAAAAATTGTTATGTACATTTCAACGGATTGCTTAAACACACTTAACACAGTAATTTGCCAGAACTTTGAGCTCAAATTCATTCAAAACACTCAAGGAATCTCACTTAATAATTTAAGATACCAAACTTGAAAATCGTTCCAGTCCCTCATTAAAAAATGTTTAGAAAATTGATTAAACATTTAATTCAATCATAGGTCAGTGTGTTTATCTAAAATAATTTCAAAACACTCATGGGATCTCAGTGAATATTTTGAGCCATCAAACTTATAAATCGTTACATACCTTTTAGCAGACAACACAAATACTTAAATTGTTAAGCAGATTGCGTGTCACTTCACTATCAAAATACTCAGGGAGATCTTGCTGAAAAATTAAAAATATCAAACTTAAAAATCAACCCACCCGTTCGCTTATAAAATCGTTACACAGCTTTTAGGAAATTGATTAAACACATTTTATTCAATCATGCGTCATTATTTTCAGCTCAAAATGTTTCAAAACACTTGTGGAAACTCATCAAATAATTTGAGCCATCAAACCTAAAATTGATTAAGCCATTTGCTCAAAAAAGTTTTACAAAACTTATTGCAAATGTATTAAACACACTTTATTTAATGAAGGGTCAATATTTTTAGCTCAAATTGCTTCAAAACACTTACGGAAACTCATCAAATAATTTGAGCCATCAAACTTACAAATTGATCAAGCCATTTGCTCAAAAAAGTGTTACAAAGCTTTTTTGCAAATTAATTAAACAAATTATAATTAATGAAGCGTCAGTATTTTTAGCTCAAATTGTTTCAAAACATTTACGGAAACTCATCAAATACTTTGAGCCACCAAACTTAAAATTTGATAGAGCAATTTGCTCAAAAAAGCGTTACATACCTTTTAGCAGACAACCTAAACATATAACCTTAATATCACTTTGCTTAGTATGGTGATAACAGACGGTATAAAATATTCATTCGAAACAATTAATAACCATGTTTTTCCTATTCGATAAATCTGCTAAATTTATTGATTTGTGTCACTCTCTATTTCCTTTCACGACTACATGTAATAACTAATAATACTAATGATTGTGGAGAAAATTGGATCTTTTGGAAATATTCTGAGTTTTATCAGAAACATCTATCATGAAAATTTTGAAAAATAATTAATATCCTCTATTATCAGCAATGAAAACTTCTAAATATACAAACAATTGGTTTATTTGTTGATTTACATGTTAAGTTGACATTTCAGAAACATTATTCCCATCTTCAAAACTTAAAATCCCAAATTTTCATAAAATTAATATCAATAGTACAGTAATATCAGGTTTTAAAAATGGAAATTAAAGAAAAAGGTAACCTATAGTTTATAACTTATACATAAAATGAGAAAGAAAAATTAAGAAGATTTCAAGGAAATTTCTGAAAGTAACAAGAACAATGAAAATAATTATAGTGGTAGTACATATGAGCAGAACTGCCAAAGAAAGAACTTTAATTTCAACAATTAGTTATTGATTAAATTTAATTGTCTTTTTAAAAAGGAAACTATAAATGGCTAAAATCATAACAAAATAGCAAAAATTAACTACACCACATATTATGAAAATCGAGGGAAGGTCTTAAAGTATAAAATTAAATATGACTTTGCCAACTTATGCAAAATTCACAGAGAATTTCCCTATTTTCCCCAACCTTACAGACCTTTTCCCGAGATATTTCTGAGTAGTAGATATTTTAAATACTACTACTTAATCAGTGTGACAACCCATCACAGGGTCTTCGACTCCTCAAGCAACTTCCGCCAGTTTAATCGATGAAGTGCAACTGTTCACTGATCGGAACTCTAAGCTGGATCCTTGAATCCCCTCCAACACCATCCACCCATTGCAACTTTGGAGTAGTAGATATTTTAAATACTACAACTTAATCAGTGTGACAACCCATTACAGGGTCTTCGACTCCTCAAGCAACTTCCGCCAGTTTAATCGATGAAGTGCAACTGTTCACTGATTGGAACTTTAAGCTGGACCCTTGAATCCCCTCCAACATCATCCACCCATTGCAACTTTGGACAGCCTCTCTGTCCTAACAGAGCTATCATGCAGATCTTTTTTAATGCAGAAATGTTTTTAATATCCCATCTTGGCAACATGGCCCCCAGTGAAACCTAGTGAGTCTAACAATTCTAGCTACATCAGGTTCATTCAGTAAGAAGTATATTTCTCAGTTCAGGCGCCTCCATGTTGGACCATTCTCCACTGGGCTAAAGTTGCACTTAAGAATTTTCCTCTTGAAAGTTAAGAGGTCCCTTTCATCAATCTTCAAAAAGACCTATGTTTCTGCTCCGCAAGTAAGTACTAGTATGATCAGTGCCTTATACAGCCTGTTTTGATAATACATAACTTCCCAGATGCCAACACAGTCCAAAATAATACCTATTTGCTGATGAGTTATTCGCCTCCTTATCCCAGCCGAGACATCATTTTTTGTATTTACCTATGAACCCAGGTAAACAAACTCATCAACTCGTTCAAATGAGAAAGGGGCCACCTGGACCCAGCCCATCCACAAGTCTTCATTAGGTCACAAGTCTTGTTACGGTCTTTAATTTGGAAAAATCGTTTCCGCAACAAACTTGCCGGATGCTCAGTGGAGATGGCAGGGTTTGTAAAAAAAATAATCAAGGGTAAATTAAATATTATTAACTATCTAACAGACGCCACGCTATTTAATTTGTTGAATTTGGAAAATAGTGAAAACCATAAAAAGAAAATGAAATAAATTCAATTAAAAAAAAAGATTAGGACGCGGAGTGAGCTACGAACTCGGAACCTTTGGGTTTAAAAACATATTTTAATTAACCTCATAACCTATCGAACCTTCTTACTTGGTTAATAATGACTTTCCCTAATCCCTTGAATAGGGTTTTACAATTCCTTATTAAACCTTAAAAAAAGAAAAACAATATAATATATACATAAAACGTGAAAACAAACTGAAGAAAAAGAAGAAAATAAAACTGGCTATTATTAATATTAATGAAGAATTTACTTATTTCTATTGATTTTAATAACTGTTAAAGGAAATAAAAATTATGAACAAGAAATTAAATTCATAAGAAAACAAAGAAAATGCAATTAACTTTAATTACAAAAGAAAAGAATATAAAATTATTATAGAACTAAACATTAACCTACAACTATACAATATACCAATTACAAACATTTGGAAATAAAAATAGATAGAAAAAAAAACTTATGTATACATATTTACAAAATCTCAATGCCGAACTTTGTCAAATTGGCACATTAAGTTATCTGAGGAAGCAGTAACTTATTCCAGCTAGCGTCGTCAGTGTCTCCCCAGTCCACCTCCTTAAACTGTGAAAATGTTCATTCACCAACTTGTAAAATCAAACGGCACTCGTCGCTGATAATCACAGGTTCATGGATAGGAAAAGAAAATCCGGTGTACACCGTAAAACTAAAGTATTTCACACAACCAAATCCTTAGGGTGCCTCAACACTCGCGAGGTTCCGCCATCTCTCTCTAAACTGTCTTTTGTTTTTCCTCCCAATCAGCTGTTGGTTATCCCAATCCGAAATAAAATGAATACTTAAAACTAAGACTTATTATAAACTAATACTAAATACTTAATTTTATATTTAACCCTCTTCGACTTAATAAAAAAAAAAAAAAAAATTATTTTATGAACTAATTTTTTTTTTTTGTATTTTATTTTTCGTCATAAGGAACTCTAGCTAGCTTAACCACCAATCATATACTTGGTTTTACATGAGCTTACAGCGATTACATTTTTATGGCAGCATCCTTGAGATCAAGAAAGGCTTCTTCCACTGCAGTTTTTGATCTCCCATCTATATCAAGGTCATCCCCATATCCTAGTATTTGTACCACAAGATTGTTCAGCTGGTCTGGATCATTGATTCTGTTATAGCTTTGTCCAAAACCAATACTGAGAATGGTTCGTAAGGAGAATATTTAATCCGTAGTACACTTCCCTTTATATTGATATTTCCCTAGGATTCTCTCAACATGAAGTAACTATCAGTGGTATAATATATTTGAAAAGATTTTGTAGAAGGAAGACAGATGACAGAAGAGAGATGCCTCAATAATTATTGTATTCCAACGGATCTCCCTTCTTATGAATAATATATAAAACCATCTTATTCCAAGAAGTCAGAATTCTTTCCTCAATCCATATCCCAATAAGATTGTGTAATGCTTGGAGTAGGTGATCTAGACACCCTGAATAATAAGCATACATAAATTTATTCCATATTCCATAAGTTTGTAAATCAAAGATTATAATTCAAGAAGTTGGTCTGGGTGGCGATTAAGGATAAGACAGTAGAAAACCTTATTTTTGTTATTAATACTTTCATTAAATCATAATACGATGTATTTACTAAATAGCATACATATAAAACTCTCACAGTGGATATATATGCGCTCTGCTGTCCAACCACCATTCAAGCTTTGAAATAACCTACATTTTTCAATCATTTGTGTTAAATTTGTAGTAAGAATTATATAATCGAAATGGCTATTCATCACTTTTCCACGAAATTCCCTTTACTTTGGCACTAAATTTATTAAAATCTATCAATCCAGAGAATTAGAAAAGTGTTTTATACTACAGAATTAATAAATAAAGTTAGTTTCTACTAGTTTTAGAGTTATCTTTGTCCGCCTTACTGACTAGTGTACTGTCTTGACCTGGACTTTATTTAATAATGTATTTCAATTAAATATTTAATAAAGGATTTCAATTAAATATTTAATAAAGGATTTCAATTATTTATGAGGTTATCTTCGACTGTCATCTCTACCATTTACTTCAAATTTGTATACATTCAATTACATTTTTTAAAATATAGAACAAAAAACTAATGTTATCAAGTCAATACATATCAAGTCAACATCAACTTGAAAATAGTGATATCAAATGAAGAATACTAACTTTCCAAGAGTATCATCTAAATCTCCTCTTGAAGGATGACTTCCACGATAACGACCTTCACAGCTTAAGGGCATTAATTCATCTGCTGGGTATGCATTATCCTAAAATAAAAATTTACTTTGTGTTAACTTTTGATAACTGAATAACTTCACATCAGGTATGACAAATATAGATATAAAACTTGAGTAGATAAAAAAAAAATGATATGGAATTAATGAAATGATTTATTTATATTTTGGTTAAGGACTCTGTGTCTTCATTTAACAGAGCCAAGTCATCAGTATAACCAAGCACAGATATTTTTCTACCCATATTCAAACCTTTTTCAGTACATATTACCTCTCCAATGACACTCTCCCTCTGGTGCTATAGGACAGATGAAGAGGAATCACCTTTAGTCCAAGTGCCAGGTCGATATTTTGTGACTTATTAGAAGAAAGCTTTTAGTCACATACTATTATAGTGTCCATCCTTAGCATTAAATTACCACTAGTCTGCCAACTCAAAGAGAGCACTTGGATTACCTCGCTCTTGGACTTTTCACCATGAACCACAAATTTTTCAGCAAAATAATTATGAATTCTAACTTTATTGAATATTTTTATGACTGGGTCTTTCAATATGCACAACACATATTCTTACTAGATTGAATATCTTTTTAGAAATCTCTTGCTCACTTAGAGTATTATATAGCCTCTGGCGAGCAATGGAATCATGAGATTTTTTAAAAAACCAATGTAAAGATGGTGAACAATAACACTGTATTCTATTTTTTTCTCTAATAGAAATGTCTCAGTCTGGCCAGAGACAGCTACCTGTACACATCGCTATTACTCTCTTATATTATCAGTTCTGTTTTTTTTTAATTTTAATGTTCAGTACAGTTCATTATAGTTGAGTGTATTTCTCTTCTAACAATATTAGTATTCACTGTGATTAGTGTAATATATTCACTTTTATCTACTTAAAGAAAGTGTCGTGAATCCAATTGAGTTCTAGAAGCTACGGGAGTGTAAACGTCTACTAATCCCTACAGCATTAGACAACACTGTTTACTGCGTTCATCAAAACAACTCTCTCCCGGTATTTATTTACATTTTAATTGTTCTATTCTAATTAAATATGGTGCAGTGTAATATTTGCAATAATACTATTGCACGCAAAGATAAAAACAATCTTTGTTGTGTAAAATGCAAAATTATTTTTCACGGTCGGTGTCTCAATCTAAGTGAAAAAGAAATTGAAGCCTTAAAAGCACACAAAAAAACATGGGTATGCCCTAATTGTGACCAGACCAAAAAACCAAACACTGAGCCGTCCGCCTCAGAAATACTGGCGGCAGTAAATCGCTTAGACTCGAGTGTCAATGAAGACATAAAAAACATAAAAACAACCCTCGATAAATATGGAGAGCTCAATTTTGAGCTTAATGAAAAATTATCAAAAATTGAGAAACACCTCGAAAGTCAAGCCAGTAATTTCGAAAAAATTATTCTGGAAAATAAAGCCCTCAAATCTCGAGTGGGCGAATTGGAGGTTCGCCTGAATAATGCAGAGCAGGGCTTGTTATCCAGATCACTGGAGATCCGAGGGATACCGGAGCGAACTGGTGAAACGCCCGCCGCTTTGGTGACCAGCATTGGAGCAAGTTTGGGCATCAGGCTCAGTACAGATGACGTGGACATAGTACATCGCCGCAGAAGTAGAAAAGATGACCCACGACCGCCGCCTGTCATCGCGCGCTTTGTCAAACAGTCAGCCAGGGACGACTTAATAACGAAGAGGAAAGTCAAGAGGGACCTCACTACTCGGGATATCGGCTGGCAGGAGAATGACTGTCACCGGATATATCTGGGTGAGGAAATGACTCCCACGAACAGACACTTATATTTTCTTGCCCGACAGAAGAGAGCTGAGGGGAAAATCAAATATAAGTGGTTTGCCGCCGGAAAGGTGCGATGTCGAAAGGAGGACGGGCATAAAGTTATTCTGATTGAACAGGCCTCGGACCTCGATATATTTGCCTGACCACGAAGAATTCGTCTACTCCTCATCCTCATTAAAATAACTTTGAACTCAATTATCTACAAAGGAACATTTTCACTTCTACGCATAGAGATATCTCTTCACACTTACACACTAATTTATATTTTATTGACCATATGTTTTTTATTTCTTTTGGTTCCTGCTTACACTTTCTTTTCTGCTATTTTCATTAATTGTAAACACCTTTTTGTATTTTCTATTTGTTTTAGAGTTTCTCTACCAAACTCTGACTGTTTCCCTCCCAATTCCTCTCATGTCTAGTACCCTAATCACCTGTCATGTAAACTCTCAATCCCTCCCTACCCACTATGATGAGTTCCTGCAATATTTCACTCAAAACTTTTATCATATTATCGCAATCTCGGAAACTTGGCTTAAACCTTACATCCCTTCCTCTTCTGTTTCCTTGCCTAATCACACCCTCCTCCGTCATGACCGGGTAAGCCGGAATGGCGGAGGAGTAGCCATGTTTGTCCATAATAGCCTGAAGACTCGAATCCTCGATTCCTCACCACCCTCCGATCATCCTCAGGTTGAATACCTTCTAGTAGAAATCCATTGTAAGGATCTTCCTCTCCTTTATACTGTGGTATATCGTCCTCCCCATGTTCCATTTGATCAGTCCTTCGAATCAACCCTATTCAACTTCGTTCCTCTATATCCCAGAATAATCATCTCCGGTGACCTCAATACTAATTTCCTCTCTAACTCCAATGACAAATCCTATCTAGAAAACCTAATTTTCTCTCTGCACCTCTTCATAGTTCCATTTTCCCCCACCCACCACACCAGCAGGTCAGACACTTGGCTAGACTTCTACATTATAGACTCTGTACAAAATCTCCTCTCCTCTTCTCAATTGCCAGTATCATTCTTATCATCTCACGATCTTATACAAATAACATATAATATCCAAACTCCTTCAATCCAGCCTCGACCTATCACCTTCCGTCACCTAGATTCCCTTACTCGAGAAAAAATATTACCTGACCTAGTAACCCTAGACTGGAATGGAATATATTCTTGCTCTTCCATCGACTCCATGGTTGACATTCTTACCACCAATCTTCTCAATATTCTCAATACCCATGCTCCCCTCAAAACCTCTACCTTTCGTCACCGGCCTGCTCCTTGGATGTGTCAGGAAATCAAAGATCTGCAGAAGAAGCGCGACGCTGCCCGAAGACGTTTTAGACGTACCAGGCTTGCAGATGACTACCAAACGTTCAGGGTGCTTCGCAACCACACAGACAAGGATCCGGCGTGTGAAAGCTTCCTACTTCCATGAAACCCCTTCCTCAGCTCCTGATATCAAATCGAAATGGCTACTGCTTCGTAAACTTTCCATTGGTAATCCTTCCAGATCCCCTACCGCAGCCTATCCTGTATCCTCCGATGATTTAAACTCTTATTTTATATCTGTCGCTAATACCTCTTCTCTACCTTCCTCTTCTGGCTTTGCTCCAGAGATATCCTTTAACGACAATAACTTTTATTTTTCCGACATTTCTCCCACAGACCTGTTAACCGCGGTAATGAAATCCCACACCAATTCCATAGGGCCAGACGGCATTCCTGTCAAATTAATAAAAATATGTCTACCTGAAATCCTCCCAGCTCTCCTTTTTATCTACAATTTCTCCCTTCAGAATTCAGTATTCCCTAGCTCTTGGAAAAAAGCCATTGTCCTTCCTTTAAATAAAAAGCCTAATCCATCCTCACCCGAAGATTTCCGTCCAATTTCAATTCTTTCTAACCTCTCAAAGCCTCTTGAAAGACTGGTGCAATCCCAAGTCTCCAAGTTCCTCGAAAAGTCCAACCAATTTGATCCTCTCCAATCTGGTTTCCATCCCGGCTATTCCACACAATCTGCCTTAATTAAAATTACCAACGACATTCAATCTGCAATAGATGATAGAAAATTAACTGTCCTAATTCTTCTAGACTTCTCCAAAGCTTTCGATTCCATCAACCTTCCATCCTCTTCAACAAACTAAAATCATTATCTTTCTCCAATAGTTCCATCTCTTGGTTCCAATCTTTCCTCTCCCAACGCACCCAAGCAGTCTCCATACCCAACCAACCACTATCTGCTTTCCTTTCTTTATCCTCTGGAGTTGCCCAGGGTTCAAGCATATCTCCTCTCCTTTTCAGCTCCTACATCAACGACCTACCTAAATCAATTCTCCATTGTTCTCATCACCTTTATGCAGATGATTCCCAGATCTACCTATCCTTTTCTCCCTCTGAGTTACTGGGGGCATTTGCCAAGATTCAAGAAGACCTTGATCGAATCAATGCCTGGGCAAATGTAAATGGATTAAAGTTAAATGCTGCCAAAACTCAGGCCATTGTCATTGGTTCCAAGCCCCTCATTAGATCCCATACTGACTTTCCCATATTACATCTTAATGACCAGCCAATTTCCTTCCACTCCTCTGTTAAAAATTTAGGATTTTTCATAGATCAAACCCTCTCCTGGACCTACCATATTTCTCACATTTCCCGTCGGACAATTTCTACCCTTAAACTATTTCATCGCTTCCGCCATCTCCTACCTCAACATATCCGTAGACTCCTAATTTCCTCTCTCATCTTCCCCCACTTTGACTACAGCTGTGTGGTGTATGATGGCCTCTCGGTGGAGCTCCGTGATAGACTGAAAAGATTAATGAATAGCTGCGTAAGATTTGTTATTGGTGCCCCGAGGTATTCCCATGTCTCTCACCACTACACTGAGTTAAGGTGGCTCTTCCCCTCCTTCCGAAGACAATACTTTCTAGGTACGTTCCTCTACCAAATCATCAACAACCATCGTCCTTCTTACGCCTACAACCTTCTCCAGTTCAAATCCTCAGTCCATTCCCTGTCCACAAGATCTCGACCTTCTGACCTTTACATGCCTTCTCACAGATCTGCCTCATTCCACAATTCCTTTATTGTTCGCTCTGTCAATTTCTGGAATTCCCTCCCTATCAAAATTCGACATTCCCCCTCCATATCCACATTCAAATCCCTCCTATTCCAATTCCTATCACAAAAACAGTCAGATACT